CACATAGGAGATAATCAATATGTATGTATTGAATGAAGCAATAAATGGCCATTGATTGGCATTTGTCTGGGCTCCAAATGCACTATAAGTAACTTTGGGTCACAAAGGATGAGTGGGATATAGGCAATAGTTCATTTTCTCTGGAGTTCTAAGTTAACTTCACTTTGTCGACTTAACAACTACCATTCTCAGCCCCATGCTTCCCAGGCTGCCATCCATCTCATGGGTGATGTGTGTCATATATGCCACGTGCGACCAGGGCTACAGACAGATGGTCTCTCTCCAAAAACCCCCTATTTCTGTGTTCTTTTAGGTGGTCTGGTCATTTTGAGAGGGCATCCTCTTGTCAACATCCTGGAGTTTGGCTCTAATGAGCAATGTTTCTCAACCTGCCGCAAGTACAGAGCAGATGTTGCACTATTACATTTTTTTAGGGATCTCTACATTACATCTCCTGTAAATATGGAGAATTATATATAGAGAATGTATGTATTTTTAGAAGTCAGAATAACAGATATCTGTTGAGTGTATTTTTAAACCAAGAACTGCTCATGTATAGATATTTTAGATTTAAGGGCATAGTTATGCTCATTTAACATAATAACAATACATTATTAAACATAGTTAGGAAGATTAATGATTGCATACTTCCTTGCCCTTGATACCTAACATAAAAGCATTTACAATAAGCATGATATAACCAGTTTTTATTTTTATTCTAGTTTCTGTTCTTTTGTTTCTCACAAATATGCAAAGTAAAGAACACAAATATTCATAATAATAAAAACAAATACTTAAAGTCCCATCACCTAGTACTTGTAATACTCACTATCTAATTTGGGATAATGCTACTTTATGGACATTTCTAGAAATATGAGCTTGAGGAAAGAAAAAATGAAATGATCACTTTCTATCTCCGATCTTGTGCATTGATTAAACACTGCTAGGAGCTTTACCTTGACCTGTAACTTCTCTCCTCAGGTACTGAAGTCTGTTGCAAGACTGTTTCCTTGAGTCTCATTCCCTAATAAGACTACTTGTATTTCCTGGAGAGAACATTATTAAAATATTCCCCAGTATGAAGGGTTATTACTGTCCCCACTTTCTTGTCCCAAGCTGGGTCTGAATGCAGGAGCACCTCTGGTGGGGGATACGTTTCTTCCTGAGTATGGCCATCTCAAGTGTTCAGAATTTCTCATGTGGAAGAACTTTTTTATTAGTATCTACTTCAAATGTTATCTTCTATATCTTCAGGCCATTTCCTTGTCTACATGGAGATTTAGAATAATTTCCTTCCTCCATTACATTTTTGTCCTTGAAGGTATTTTATATCAGAGTGCACGTTCTTCTCTCTTTCTGAGGCTTCCTTGTTTCAGGCAAAATGTATTAAGTGTCTGTAGTCTAATCCTCTGGCTCTCCTGTCATGCCACTTGTCTCTTGTATATTCTCAGTGTGGAGATAAGAAAGGAACATTGTGTTCTAAGTTGGGAACCTAGGGATGGAAACCAAGACCATTGCCGTTTTCCTTATCCTACCCTGTATCCAATTTTTTAAATTCCTTTAATGTGTGAATAAAGATTTTGAAATTTAGAAACCTAGATGCTACCGAAACCAAAAACTCATTGCTGTCAAGCCGATTCCAACTGATAGCAACCCTGTAGGACAGAGTAGAACTGTCCCATAGGGTTTCCAAGGAGCAGCTGGTAGATTTGAACTGCCAACCTTTTGGTTAGCAGCTGAGCTCTTAACCACTGAGCCACCAGGGCTCCCTAGATACTACAGTATATATAAAATTAGGCCATTGAAATTTTATGCACATGATTTAAACATCCCTATAAAAATGAGCAAATCAATACCTCTGTGACTTACACTTGCTGTCATTATAAATGTTTATTTGCCCTGTTACATGATACAACGGGGACCATAAATGTCTTGTAAGTCTTGGGTTACCTGAGAGAACCCTGTCATTTTAACTCTCTTACTTTACTACCTGTGCTTTTATTTACCTTTTTTCAAAGCCGACACGTCTATTTTTATTAATGTCATCTTACTTTGGTTTTAAGTTTTAGCATTTTTTTTAAAATATATCATCTATATTTAATATGGATTCATAAAAATTCACTTAGCATATTGTTATTAAAGAAGAAAAGATAAAACAACACAAAAGCAGATTTTCAGGGGTTAATTTATAGACTTTTAAAAAGATTACATCCTCATTCTGGAGTAGTTTTTAAATGTTATTTAATTATTTATTAATTTTTGATGGTCAATAGGCTTGGTTTTCCTTGTTGTCTAACACATTGAATTTTAAAAAGTAATTGTTCCCAGAGAGATTTGTTTGTAGATATAAACAAGATTATTCTAAAATTTTATGGAAAGGCAAAGAAACTGTAGTAGCTAAAACAAATTTAAAGGGAAAAATAAAGTAAAAGGAATTGCTGTACTCATTGTTAAGGTGCAGGACCAGACAGCACTTCATTCTGTTGTGCGTGGAGTCACCATAAGCCAGAGGTCAGCTCGACGCAGCTAACAACACCAGCAACATGTAGTTACAGCGAACAAGACAATGTGGTATTAGTGGAAGAATAGACACAGAGGTCAGTGGAAATAAACAGAGAACCCAGAAATAGACCGACTCAAGTATGCCCAACTGACTTTTGCCAAAGGTGCAAAAACAATTCAGTGGAGCAATTGAACATCCATAAATCAAAAAAAGAAAAAAAAAGAACCTCAACCTAAGCCTTATACCTTGTGCAAAAATTAACTCAAAATGATCATGACTTATATGTAAAATATAAAACTATGAAACCCTTTTAAAAACATAAGAGAAAATCTTCAGCAGTTTGGGCTAAGTAAAGTGTTCTTAGACTTGACACTATGTGGTGCAGTGAATTACTATTATATGGCCCTTCTAGCCATGGTCGTATAACTCCCACAAAATGATTGGGTGGGACTATGCAAATAAGGTGCTTGTGGCCCACTAAGTGGATTGGACAGTTTTGCTAATGCAAGTAAGGTACATGGAATGCTTTCAGGGGTAAGACCATGCAAATAAGGTGCAAGGAACCCTAGCAGAGGATTAGTCAGTTTTGCCATCCCACTAGGCTTAAAGGGAGCCAATCCCAGAGGTTGGAGGGGGGAACCTCACTACCATCAAGACAAAGAGCCAGGAGTGGAGTGCATCCTTTGAACCCAGGATCCCTGTGTGAGAACCTCCTAGACCTAGGAGACAGAGACAGCTGTAACACTGGAGACAGTGTGAGACTGCAGTGGCATGGGACTGGCAGGCTAGGCTTGCTGACCCATGGAGTGAGAGAGCCGAGTGGCTTCAGGTACGAGGCTTGCTGGCAAAGTGGGGTGCCTTCGGGAACTTACTGGTGAGCTAAAGAGCTTTGTAACACTTACCCGAGCAGGGCAGAGGCCATACTAAGGGCTTAGAGAGAGGCCTGCCTGTGGGCATGACCAATAAGAAGCTGTCCTGATGAAAGAACTGTATCCTGAGTCTTTCCCACTACTTCCAAGTTGATCCTGATCCTAAATCGTAACCTGTTACTTCCCTAATAAACCCCATAATCATGAATATGGTCTGTGAGTTCTCTGTGGCCATTACAATGAGTTATTGAACCCAGTAGAGAAGTAGAGAGTGCCATGGGAGGGATGGCTGGTGTCAGAATCTGTAAAAAGGTTGGAGAGTGGAGGTATGTTTGACCTTCACCTCACAAGAAACATCAGCCTTGGGCTGACACTGCTAATCTTGATTCTCATCTGTCCTCTGCATGAAGTTAGAGGACCTCGGATGCCACGCCATTTTTATACTCCAAAAGTACAGTCCATAAAAGGAAAAATTGATCAACTGGACTTCATCAAGATTAAAAACTTGCTCTGCAAAAGACCCTCTTAAGAAGATGAAAAGACAAGCTACAAAGTGGGATAATATATTTGCTTTATGTGTATCTGACAAAGGACTAATATCTAGAATATATAAAGGATTCTCAAAACTCAACAACCAAAAACGCAATAATCCAATTAAAAAATGAGAAAAACACATTAAGAGCCATTTCACTGAAGAGGGTATACAGATTGCAGATAAGCACGTGAAAAGATGTTCCACAACTTTAACCATTAGAGAAATACACCTTAAAACCATACACCTATCAGAATGACTAAAATAAAGAATAATAATAATAACAACACCAAATGCTGGAGAAGATGCAGAGAAACTGAATCATTCATACATTTCTGGTGGGAATGTAAAATGGTAACAGTCTCTCTGGAAAAGAGTTTCACAATACCTTTAAAAATTAAATATGCAGGTACCTACAACCCAGAAATTGCACTCCTGGGCATTTATCTCAGAGAAATGAAAACTTATGCTCACACAAAAACCTATATGCAAGTGTTGTTTTCAGCAGTTCTATTCATAACAGTGAAAAACTGGATACAACTCAGATGTGGCACATCCATACCATGGAATACTACTCAGCAAGAGAAAGGAACAAATTGTTGATACGTGCAACAACTGGATGAATTGTCAGAGAACTACGTTGAGTGGAAAAAGCCAATTCCAAAAGGTTATATACTGTACGATTCCATTTATATAACGTTCTTGAAATGACAAAATTATAGAAATGAAGAACAAATTATTGCTTGCCAGGCGGTGGGGACAGGAGGGAAGTGCGTGTGGCTATAAATGGGAAATGAGGAATCCTTGTGACGAAGGAAATGCTCTGTATCTTGACTGTATCAATGCCAGTATCTTGGTTATGATATTGCATTGTAGTTTAGCAAGATGTTATCATTGGAGGAAACTGGGGAAAGGCTACACAGGATCTCTCTGTATCATTTCTTACGACTGTGTGTCAATCTACAATTATCTCAAAATTCAAAATTTAATGATAAAAAGTAATTTTGTTAGCAAATTGTAAAGAGAAATCCAATTAGATAATGAGAAATGTAAAAATGCAAGATGTTGATTTTTTCTTATGGTTTTTCTCTGCAAGGTTTGCGAGGAGCGATAGCGTTTGCTTTGGCGATTCGGGACACAGACTCTCAGCCCAAACAAATGATGTTCACCACGACGCTGCTCATCGTTTTCTTCACTGTCTGGGTGTTCGGAGGAGGAACGACACCCATGCTAGCTTGGCTTCAGATCAGGTCGGTGGCACTATCTAACAAAGGAAATCATTACCAGGAACGGTTGTGCTGTTCAATTTCTGATATTGCTGACTTAAACAAGTGTACAATGGCAGGCTTGTACACGAACTTTCCGCGGGGTGCAGCTGACCTTCACTCGCAAGGTGAAACTGATTACATATCGCCAACCGAATTGATTTTTCCAAGGGTCCTAGCAATCCCAGGATGATGTCTGTTTACAGTACATCAGTATAAATGAATTTGCTTATCTATTAATTCTTCAACTACATTTATTGAGTGCCATGTAATATCCTATGCAGTTGACAGCAATGAGTAAGACACGAGTCTTGTCCTAATGATATTCACAGTCTGGTAGGATTTATACAGAGAAAGCTGTAATGCCAAGGAGAAAGGAAAGGCCGAGTGCAGCCAAAGAGAATCTATTATCCAGCGAGGAGCTACTTCTCTAGAGTGTTCAGTGGTTTGTAAATTCTTGTGGTAAGATAGGACTCATATTTTGCTTTGATTTTGACTTTGTGTGGGTCTGTGTGTGTGTGTGTTCTATTTGGTTTTGTTATTAATTCTCCACAGCACTTAGAATAGAACTAGGGATGCAGGAAAAGCTTAAAAATATTTGATCAGTGAATGATCGGCCATATGTTCAGCCAGAGGGAGGCTGTAGACACAAATTAGACATTTTCTCACAGGAAAGGGGCTCAAGACATCAGTCAAAGAGCCTCTGATAAACAGTGCCTGGAAGATCATTGCTGGAAACCTGAAGTAGCAGGTAGCAGACAATTTGACTAGAATGGATACCTTGTACCAATGGTGAAAATCGGTAAAATTGTTTAAAAACATCATTGTCTTTATTTAAGTGTTTCTTTGACCAGGATCCTCATTTTCATATCCCAGAATGCAACAATGCTTTAAGTAAATCGTATTTTGTTTCCCAAGTACATAACGTGTTGATGATCACACAGTCCCTTCCTGGTGCTTGCCCATTCTCTGTAAGGCAGATGTATACCCATGACATCTGACAGAAAAAAAAAAATCTATCTGACTGGAAAAGGTCTTCCAAGAAGATTCTTATAGACAAACACTGTGTTATTCCAGCACCTAGTATAGTGCCTGGCACCTGGGAGGCATTGAATGAGTCATTGCTGCATGAAGGAAGAAATGAGTATAATCACAAATGGTAACTGTGTTTGTTAAGCACTTGCTGATGATTTTCTATCTGTTCCACAAGGAGAAAGCAGAAGCAGGACTCACAAGTTTAATATAAGAAAGCTCGTGCTTAGACCTGGCCAAGTGGCTATGTATTAAATCAAATTCAAGAGAAAAAGGAGCTCTTGAAGTACTGTGAATATTGCTAAACACATAAAAGAGCTTCGACCAAAGGTGAATGAAGTGTTTTGAAATGCTTGCTGAATCATTTTCTGGGCATATAAATGTGACCTGCAATTCCTTTCACAGTGGTACTTACCTGTAGGCCCCTATGGATGAGTACACATATTGCATTAGACTCCATAGTGCTGAGTCCCCTGTGAACTCTTAGTAAGATAGTGGTGTGTTCAGGCTTCTGGAAAATAAAATTCACTAGGAGGATCCATGCTTGGAACAATTAGAAAGCACAGCTAGAGGACAACGATTCTCACAAGATAAAATACTGAATATTCTATCAGGTGAACTAAAATACCCAGAACTTGAAAGTAGTGATGTCCACAGTTTGCTTAAAGTAATTCAAATATAACTTGTTTTCCACTGTTGTCATTCTTTACCTTGAAGAGGTTCTCCTCAAGTCAGTAACATATTTTATCCTAACATGTTTACCTAACTCTTCTGTAAGTGTTTTCTAAAGACATCCATCGGCTTCAAATAGGTGTCATAGCTTATGCAGTCTCTTGATACCTGGGTCAGTGGGGTGAGGGGAGTATGATAGTGGGGCTTTAGACAGGTTAGGACAATAATCCAGGTTATAGGACAGGGCCTAATAAGGAGGGATATTAATGCCAACCATAGTGTCCAGGGGTGGGGTACCTGGAGGTCAGCCTACAGGCCAGTGTTAATATGGCCTGCTGGGTGGGCACAGTATGGGGTTGTCCCATCATGGAGATGCCACAGTGGAAATTAGCTCCAAATGGCTCTGCTGATTGAACGCCAAACTTGACAACTAGCCAGGAGGGGACAGTATTAAAGGCAGGATTACTGTATATTTAGAGCCCTGATGGCCCAGTAGTTAAGGGCTACGGCTGCTAACCAAAAGGCTGGCAGTTCGAATCCACCAGCGGCTCCTTGGAAACCCTATGGGGTGGCTATGAGTTGAAATCAATTCGACAGCCATGAGTTTGGTTGGGTTTGGTGGTATATTTAGGGAAAAGAGATGACAGGGCCCCAGTCTAGTGGGCAAGCTTGAAATCTCAGGTGAGAACTAGAGCATAAATCTGAAACTAGGGCAGAAGGCCAGTCGTAGAGACCAGACACCCAGTCACGAGGAAACCAGAGGGGAAAAACTGAAGTTCGTAGACATGTGAGTGCACAGGAAGTCAACGCAGGCAGACAGGATACAGGGCAGCAAGACCAGCTTAAGACCAGTGGCTCTCAAACTCTTACGACTATCAAAACCACCTGGAGTTTTGTTAAAACCCAGATTGCTGGGCCCACCCCCAGAATTTCTGATTCAGGAGGTTTGGGGCAGAGCCGGAGAATTTGCATTTCTCTCCATTCCAGGCAATGCTGACACCTCTGGTCCTAGGTTTAAACTTCCTACTCCTTGATGGAGCTGGGGTTAATATTAAATACTGCCAGATTTGGCCAGGCCCAGGCACACCTGAGCCTATAGTTTAAATTCCTTAGCACCTATGTTAGAGGGAGGCAGGGGCTAATTTTAGGAGGAAGAGTAATTGTGTACTGATCGGTGGGAGGAAATAAGACATTACAGAATGGACATAAAAGAACAGGACCATGAGTTAGTGTGTGTACAAACACACACACACACACACACACACACACACACGTATGCCATAAACTATACCATAGTGATACCATCATTCCCTCTACTCTCCTACCATGGTTTATAATGTTATCAAAGAAATCCTCAGTTCCATTATAGTGTTTAAACTCATAGTTGCCCATCATTTAGACTATATTTAGCAAGGGCTTTGCTTGTTTATGAAGCAACATCTGATTAACCAATTGTCATGTCAGACTCTTTCCAAAAAATACCAGTATGTAAGTAAATTGGAGCTTTAATAAAATGACGCAAATGGGAAAACCCAAGGGGCAGGAATGCAAATGTGACACCAAATGAACCCAAACACCCTTGCTTGGTGCATGATTTGTTTATATACTTTACATCACCTTCTCTCCTTGATTTCTTTTTAAAATTCTGCATTTTTTTTCCCTTAAATTATTAGACACGCACTTGAGTTGTGTTTTTTTTTTAATCCCTACAAAATTTGCCATTCAGCCACCAAACTACCATGGTAGGATGCAAATGAAGTATTTTATATAGGGTACAAAGTGATAGTATTAATATGAATTGCATTTTGATGGAAATAGTTTTAAAACAGAAATGATCCTGTGCTAAGAGAAACTCAGTTCTCCACACATTACATCCTAAGCACCATTTCGAGTTCTTGCAGAAGCTGGTTTCTTCTCTTTAAATAATAGTAAAACATTCCTTAATGTGGCATTTGAGACAAATGACAGGCCTTCACTTCCTAAAATTATGGAGAAAATAAAAGACTTCAACATTGTTTTCCAGGTTTTCATGCCTAAATCAAGGATGAGATTCCCACCCCAAAGTTGGTCAATTCTGACTCATGGCAACTCCATAGGGTTTCAAGGCTGTAAATCTCTGTGGGAGCAGACTACCACATCTTTCTCCCGGGGAGCTCCTGGTGGTTTTGAACCACCGACCTTTCGGTTAGCAGTTGATTGCTTTAACCACTGCGCCACCAGGGCTCCTTTTATTATTTCTTATGTGCCAGATATTAGATAATAAAATGCAAGTCACATAACTTCCATGTGCCTCAGCCTCTGATCTATAAAATAGAGATGATAATAGTAGGCACCTCCTAGAGTGGGTGAGGTCTGGCCAAGTTGCCCACAGATACACCACTATTGGGCCACAGAGCCTGAACCCAGCCCAGGCAGACTGAGCCCAGAGCCTGCACACCCCAGCAGGGTATTCTCCTGCCGCCCTGAATAAATGACCTTACTCCTGATGCTTGCAATCTTCCTGATTAACAAATCCTCTGGTGAAAAGAAGATGTACTTTTATAACCAAGCCAGGCCTGTTAAAAACAAACACAGGAAATCTTCATCCATCATGGGTGATTGGGCTGACTTGCTCATGCAGCACAGAAGTTCCTCCGTGCAGGTTTTCTCTTCGACCTGGAACAGTTCAAGGTAAACAGGGCCAGCCCTGGCCCAAGGTAGCCAGCTGGAGAAGTTGGTGTTTCTCATTGATAGTCTCCACTTTTGTGCCCTTTGTCACCTTCATGCCCATCTCCCAACTCTATTCGGGATTCCAGCCTGCTTTGGGCCTCTTTCCCAAGTCAACCAAACAAAAATACCACACACACTGGCCTGTGTCCACTGCATAGTGAATAATTTTTTGATAGTGGAGGCATTGCACTATCTAGCAGTTATTCACCCTGCAGTGGACACAGGCCAGTGTGCATGGGTTCTTTAGTGCAGTGCCTCCACTATCATTACTTCAGTTAAATATTTAAATTCTGTTTTGGGTTTATGATCCTTCACCATTTAATACCACCCCAGATTGTGTTCTTTATCATCTATATCCACTGGCTACCAAGTGTTAAATAACAGCTGTCACAGGAATACACACAGAGATAAAGAGGGAACTGTCCTTAGTAATGTTTTTAACCTCAAATGATGGTTGTTGGTAGGTGCCTTCAGGTTCGTTCTGACTCATAATAGAGACCCAATGTACAACAGAACAAAACACTGCCCGGTCCCATGCCATCCTCACAATCATTGCTGTGTTTGAGCTCATT